CCGGCGGCGCCCGCGGGCGGGGAGCTGCGTATCGCGACTTGGTGCGGTGCTGTCGTATGGCCGCGCCCCGCCGAGTCGGGACTGCCAGCCCTGCCTCTTCCCCTGGGGGCGTCGGGAGGCTTTGCCAGCTGGCGTTTGCAAAGTACGTTAAAACACCCCGCGCTCTGCGTATTTTAAATGCTGCGAAATCAGGGAAGAGCCATTCGTTTTTCAGAACACCGTTACAAAGCAGAGGATCAACGGCATTTAGGATTTCCTTTATTCAGTTGTTCCCAATGTATTTCGCCCGTGGTATCAATCGGATCGTTTCCGCGGCCATTCATGCAGTTGAGTCCTACCAGGGTTTCATCGTGGCCAAGAGGTGTCATTTATATGCAGATTAGCACGAGGAGATGAGATAAAAGGCTTCCGTGGTTTTGCATCTGCACAGTATAACTGTGGTTTTAAGACTACTGTAATTAAATGTATTTCTGCCCTACGAGGTGTCTCGTTTTTGTAAAGAATGAAGGGGTGGAATTTTTTTCCTCTGCAAGAGCGCAACCCAGCTCCACCAATTTTAACAGTGGTAGGATCAGGCCCAGGTTTTTAACCAATCTGTAATGTATTTTCATGCATTAGTGTTTTGTTTGTGTGCAAATTTTAACGAAGCCCTAGCAATACCAGCCCAGACTGTAAAAAACATCAAGTCAAACCAAACCGACAACAAAACAGGTCAGGCCCGATCATTGGATGTGTTACTGTGCTAGCTGTTGACCACTGTTGGGGAACACGTGTTGCCAGCACCGTAATTTCGGGGGTCTCACTGCTGCTTGCTGGAGAATCCAGCCGTAATTTCGCCTCATGGAGGACAGTCACAACCTCACTTTGGCGACAAAGACTCGGCCGGAGTCTTGGCTGGCTGCAGGGCACGGCCCCAGCACGCTTACCCCAACAGGGTCTTCCTGCGCTGAAGCCACCCAGAAGTCATCACCACAGACCCGAAGCCGCACAGGGCTGCGTGGTTTCTGTCTCTTTTGTGCCATGTCATTTCTACCTTAAATATTTTCTAAGCCTACGTTTGTTCCTCGCGTCCTGTCCTACGCTGTTGTGAAGCATTTCTATACTGAATAGGCGACTACCATTTTTCTGGTTCAGAGAAAGCTTTATTTCTATGGAGTAAGCCTCTACTTAAAAGCTTAAAGAATCGTTGTACACGTGAAATTTCTGTTGACTGAAATGAAATGACTTGTAGCCAAGCGATGGAGGACTCTTAGAGGTTTTGAGTGGCCTCTTTTCCAGTATTCACTACAACACCGGGCTGCCAAACCCTGCATAGAGAATTAGATTCCCTACTGAAAAACTTCCCTGTCAACCAAATGGTCATTTACAAATGAATGGGCCAACACCAGACTGACGGGCACCTGCCCTGATCAAATCTTTGACAAGCTGAGGCAGAACAAAACCTAGATGTTGTAAGTGGTTTAAATTTTCCTTACAAAGCCAATTCTTTGTGCTTTTTAATTTTGAGGAAGTGACTTGCAGAGCTGGGGGCAGAAACGTTAGTGGATATGTTCCTTGCTAGAGGAGACCTGGTAAAAGAAAATAGCCACAATTGTAAAGAATAATTGTTGGTAGTTTATTTACAACAAAATGCAAGGAAAAATACAATATTAAAAGTAATAAATAACTCGGAAAAATCAGAAACTAAGTGATATGAATGAGAAATATGACAATCAAA